ATAATAACCTTGCGCGTATTGAAGGGTACACTGACCACTACGTAACGCACGTCCTCGTCACTGATATATCTAACCAATGAGAAAAGATTCTAAAATCTTAAAATAACGTTTTAAACATTGTAATTCCTCTGAAAACTTTAACGTTCTCAGTAGAGAGATGTAAATTATCTGGCACAGTTTTTATGGGGTTTTTGCCATTAATTTTTCCTACCGAATATTGCTGTTGCTTTATTTTACAACTTACGGCCGTCTTTTTAGTAGCGAAACCATGAGCGTGCCTTTTATGACCTGCTTAAATAATTACTATTTTCTGATCATAGAAATCACTTTTATATTCAATAAGACATTCTCTCCTTCCAACAGTTTACGGCTTCATCGTGGCTGAGAGGTGTTTCCGGGTGTCAGACTGCGATGTACAGCGGCTGATTCATCCCCTGGCAGGGTCTCCTAAGCTAAGAAGAAGTCCGGCGTTTCCATCAAGAAGCCTAGCTAAGAGTAAACCTATACCAGAATCCACCACCGTCCTGGTTCCAAAGTCGCATGGCGGCAAGTCTCCTTCTGATCCACAAGGGGTACAACTGCCCGTGGTGGTGAAAATACGGGGCAGACTTTGGCCAGGTTGACCTCGGAACTCCAGAAAACGACTATGGCTTAACCAGCAAATCTCCGAAAAATGGAGATTATCCTGGGGCCCGCACAACCGGTGAGGACGAGTCGTTCAAGTATCAAGTAGGTAAGCATCAAGTAAGACATTCTCTGGACTTTTCCTTCTGTACTATCAAAATATGTATAGGGAATTCTTTATTCATCATTCCCTAAATTTTTATCGACTTTTCATATTCGTCACTTCGTCGGTCACATTTTCGCTCACGATCGCTAAACTGCTATTTTTCACTCCGTCCGTTATCGTTTCTTTTTCTCCCTTCATCGTCCATTCAAATAGAAATCCTCTTTGAAGAGTCGAAAAGCCAAAATGGCTGTAATAATGATGTGTTCTCGACTGAAGTGTTCTTCAACACAAATGGCAGGTAGGACGAGTGGAAATCACAGTTTCGATGTTGAGCGGTTTTTTTTCCACTGCAGAACTGCTTAAATCCGTCAAAAACACAGAGAAAACTGTCGCTTTAATATAGAGTTGAGTTTTTTTATCCATCTCAAAATGCTCTGTATGAAGACGATATTTATTTGATGAAAAAATCTACTTAGATGATGCTACTACAGAAAGTATTATAATCTGCAGATCTTTGTCTAAAAAGCACAATTTGCTTTATCCTACGAAGATGGAATTGTGATTTCGCACAGCCAGAGACATATCTTTTCCATATTAGTACCTCAAGGGTCATATTTGGAATAGAAAGGCGAATGAAGAAATGGGATTTCATTCAGAAGGAAAGGGTGGTGTTCGCCAAAATATCGTTCGTTGTCATGATATCTGTGCTTGCGTTGGAACTGCATTGAAAAATTAAATTCGCTGCTCCGATTTCTGGAAATTTAAGCGCTAAACACGATCGGGGCGATACAGTAATGTTTGGCAGAATTTATTCTATAAATCTATGAATTTTCCAACTCCAAAAATATTTTGACGATTTAGAAGTTACTGTCAGCAGTTGAAAAAGCACCTACGGGAGTTGTCGTGAGTTAAAGAGGTGTTATTGTCTTCCAATCGTAAAGGTTAAAGAGGTGTTATTGTAATAGTTCCCAGGATCGACTTTCTCTTAACCTGGGCATTGGAATGTGAATGTGTCGTTTTCTTGTTCAGCAATCGCGAGGTTTTTAAACAGCATACATTTACTTCCATAAAAACACAATACAATACAACGCTAGCTGACGTTTCGGCAGTATCGCCTTCTTCCTTCTTCCTTCCTCATTGGAAGTCACGAAAAAGCGGCTCTGAAGAAGGTGTTATTGTCTTCCAATCGTAAAGAAGTCATAGAAAATTGGATGCGTATTTAGCCTATATAACGGCTTTCGACTACCACGGTGGATTAAATTTTGTTTCTATCTTCCCAGACAAGTTCGGTTATAATCTAATGATGGCCTTGCTAGTCCGAAGGTAGAAATGGCCAATGACCATTGTTATCCATTGCGTCCCTAACCACTGCACTAACCGCGCTAAATTTTATAACAGTCTTCACTAACAATTGCCAACATCTTCCAAACAAAATTTAAAACTTTTCTTCCAAAACTTTCAGTGTAGTTTAAAGTACAGAGGAGTAACCAGCGAAAGCGAAAGTACCTTAGACCTTAGGTACCTGAAAAAGACAAAAAGTGTTACTTTGTTATCCCAGTCTTGGAGAAATCAACTCGCAGTATTCTACCCTAGCAATGCAACCGATTAATTCATGCAGACTCATTTCGATGCTTTGTTTCGCATCAGTTATAAAATTTCAGAACGGACTTGGAGTTGAGGTGCTCTTCCCATTGAGCAACTCTATCACTGATAACAAATCTCAGGGCTGACTTCCACCTCGGCGTTGATCAAATATTTCACTCTATGCTTGATGAAAACACATGAGTTTATTATTGCAGTATTTATTTAATTGCAATAGCTGAAGCAAAGCTTAATGCATGAATTTTTTTCCATCATTCGTCGTGAATCCTTGAGCCGTTGTGTGACTATGAACACATACACACACAAGATGTGATCGGACCTTTCCTTCCTGTGTCAATCAAGTGTTTAATCTTTCCGAAATAGGGAAATGACTACAAGAGTTGTTTTATAAGAACTTAATCCGATCCATGAAGGCTTGCGGCTGCCTGTGGTGCTCTGGGGACGCCCGAGGCTACCTTAGGATTGAAGCAGAGCCGATTCAACCAACATTCAATAACATTCATAAAGCGTATAAAATTCTTCAAGTAACAGTCAAACCCATTTGCAAATCCAAAAAAAGTTGATGAAGGGTTCCAAGAAACGAATCGAACTAAGGAAATGCCGGGGTATGCACAGAAGATGCGAAGACGGGTTGTGTAGAAAACAAGGAGAGAGTAGTTCCAAGCGAACTGGTTTTCGTTCAACAATATTGAAATTGAGAGCGATGAGCGACGAAGAGATAACGAAAGAGAATAGTTCTTACAAACACTAACAACGATTATCGAACGACACGAACAGCTGTTCAACAAAGAGTAGGAATTATTCAGCACAATGTAGAGTAGATGTATTCTTCGAGAACTAAAGAATGAATGATGTCGGATGAAACATAATTGAAAATACGTACGTGTATTCACTTTCAAAAACCACTGAAATAGCATATACATATACTCTGGTTATTTCCTTCGATCTTTGCTGAGAGGCGAAACGTAGGACCCGCATGGTGTGGTGGTGAACGCGTTACTCCCCGGAAAGGACAATAGCGCGTTCGTTCCCCACCATAGACACCTGCGGTCCAGAGTTTTGCAAACATCTCAGCAACGTTGTGGTTGTATTTCGCTCAGTACCCTGCCGCGAAATTATAGCAGGCAGAAAATAAAAAGGTATAACATAGAGAATAGTCTTCTTTAAGAAAATTTGCTAACTTTTCCCTACATAGTTACCCAGAAACAGGAAAGGGAAGGTAAGAAATGCTTTTTATGAGCCTTTAAACGACTTTAGTGAGTAGCTTTTACACTAGGGAGACTCGAGTGCTTCAATTTTCAGAATATGAGGATTCAGGTTTTGAAAAATTCTGACAGTCTGACGTTAGAAAAACACACTTGCCATGAAATGGCAGAGCATAACTCTCAAGGAATTTCACCGTGGTATTTACTGCTTACTCTTCTTAATGGCAGGGTATGTTACGAAATATAACTTCAATGATGCTGAGATATTTGCAAAACTCCGGACCACAGGTGTTTGCGGTGTGGAACGAACGCGCTATTACCCTTTCCGAGGGCTAACGCATCCACTACCACACCATGCGGGTCCTTCGTTTCGCCTGTCTCTCAGCTAGTTCTATCGATCAGTGCCATCAGCAATCACCCGTCAGCGGGATTGATCCATGAAGCCCAAATCCGCAATGAATCCAATTAACCTAGATATCTTGTTAAGGAATTTCTAGAACATTCAGTAGTTGGATACCATTTCAATAAGTGTTTAATATTTTCCAGTAACATTACGAAATAAGAGGGAAATTATTACAGTGGGACCCATATCATAGAAACAAACGATTTTTCTTACCTGAAATCAACTTTTTTGCGCCAAAAAGTACACGTCACGAATCCACGGATGGAATCGATCGATATCGATTATCATCATTTTTAGGACACTTTCCTCTCCCTGTTTTCCTAACATTCAACTAAATCGACTGTCTTCAGGCTTGTTTCGATGAACTATCAATTAGAACTAATACCTTATTATCTACACTTATTGTATATGTTCTACTGAATCGATTTGTATTCATTCATTGGTGTTTTATACATTGTTCTCGACATCCATCATCGTCAGGTATGCTAAACTTATTATTATTATTATTATTATTATTATTATTATTATTATTATTATTATTATCATTGTTACTATTGCAGCATGAACATCTCGTCCATCTATCGTATCCGTCGTAAAGAGTGAATAACAGTTTAGTACTGACTGTTTGCTTGCAATTTATTGAATCAGCTGTGAATTGACGGTGTGTTCGGTGCCGTTCGACATCGAAACCATCCGCGTTCTATAGTCATCCTCTAGCAGTCATACTACTACAGAACTAGTTACTCTCAGACTCTCTGTCGATTTTCATGCTTTTCTCCTCTCGTTTTTTTACTAGGGCAGTACAACGATTTCGCACCAACCACACTCCGAAAATTCCCTACAGTCATCTTCTTCGTTCGTTGACTACATTAACCTACTTTCTTTTGCGCAGAATCTTTTTGCTAGGGATGATCGTATTCATCCGAGGACCATTACGCAGTCACTTAACCAGTATCATCTTGCGAACTCTCCATTTCTTTTGAGATGACGAATGGTTAGTCGAAACTAGGCACATGGAATCATTGTGAAATGTACCAGTTAGTCGCTCAAGAGTATTCTTTCATCCTGTTTGTTCTTCTTCCTCTTCCTTTTCTTCTTCTTTCCTTTTCTTTCTTCCTCTTCTTTTTTTCATCTTCTCATCTTCTTCTTTTTCCTTCTTCTTGTGTTTTCTTCCTTTTTTCTTCTTCCTCTTCATCTCATCTTCTTCTCCCACCATCATCATCATCATCATCATCATCATCATCATCATCATCATCAACATCATCGTCCCATTCTTCCTTTTTCTCTTTTCTTCTTCATTCTTCTTCGTCTTCCTTATTCTTTGTCTTCTTCTTCTTCTTTCACCATCATCATCACCATCTTCTTCCTTTTTCTTCCTTCTTTTTTTGTTCTTCTTCTTCTTCTTCTTATTCAACTCTTAGCCAAATCGCTGTTGTCAGCGCGTGTCTATAGCAGTGTAACCCTCTTGACCCCGTGGTGTCACCCTTTCCAGATTCCACACTCAGGTGGTACATTGTCGCTAATAATCAACACACGTGCACTCCCAATATCGATATGTTTCATTAAAAATCGTTAGTACTATGCAAATGATGTTTATGGATTAGCGCCCCTTGGTATAACTGTTTACAGACACGGAGATGAATTCATCACTTACATCTGATTTCATATCTGATTAATCTGATCTTTCTCACAATTTTCTATCTTATATGAAACACGTTCAAACAAGCAGTGCTTCGTTTTAATAACGAGTGAGTAGTAGTTTGCTGAGATGTTGCTGACGCTTTTTATTTGCGAGGAATCATGAAAGAATCTATCCCAAGCATCCTGGGAATCCAGCTGACTGCCTACTTGTTAAGTGTTATGCGTGGGTTTCGTGACTCACTTAGCACACCCACGGCGCTTGCGACAATACACTTCTTACAATTCTGATTTATCAAAGCGCTTATTGCCATTCTAGCATATTTTTCGTTGTTTTTTCTTAAGAGTAAATGTTACAACTGTAAACGTAGTTGACCTGGTTCAACATAACTTCGTGTGAACTGCTCATCGTAAAGCATTTGATCAGAAAGTTTAGAGAAACCTGCAAATTTGCCCTATTTTTGTTTTTTAGGTGGGAACAATCCGTCTTATTTTAGCTCTTGTTGTCGCCATTTCATATTTTTTTGTCTTTTTTAAGAATGTTACAACTGTGAACGTCGTTGGACTGGTTCAACATCGCTTCATCTTGAAATGCGTGCCATGAGGTGTTTTTAAGAGGACTCTGAAATACTTCTAAACTTGTTTCCTTTTTGTTAATCTTTGTTTGTTACTAACCTTCTGCATTTGCAGATGATGCTATTTTGCAGAATTTTCATGATGGGTGCTATTAACGATTTATATATATCTCTTGTGCAGACGCCTCGTAAAATCGATGTCGGAAATATGTGAGTTGGGTTAAAACTTGTTGATTCACTATCCTGCTGCGTCCAGATGGTCCAAAGGGTTTCGATTACTTCTCGATCAAAGAAGAACCAGAATCGCGAGGTCAACAGGCCTTCGACAATGACGCACTGCATAGCCGAATGTGTTTTTACATGGATTGTGATGATGGCTAGTTTCATTTACTCGACAATAATTTGCTAATTAAGTAAAGTTTATCAAAGAATTTTGTAAAATTAAGTAACACACGTTCTCAGTGACACCGGCTATGTGATATGTGTCACTATCTGCAATTCCTTTTCTCTGTTTAGATTCTTTATGTTGATCCCACACATAAAAGTCAGTGGTGAGCGTTTGGAGAGGTGTTGGAATCGCTGCCCCAAAACTTGGCGCACAGAGTAAGATTGCATTATTTTATTAGTAGCACTCGAACTTAGTGCGTTATTATGAGTTTTTTTAAACAGTTACTAAAATAAGAAAAACATCCACCTTGTAATCACTTTTTATCTACTGCCTATTCTTTTTTATAACAGATTATAATCTGAAATGTAACCACAATGATGCTGAAATATCTGCAAAACTTCGGACCGCGGGTGTATATGGTGGGGATCGAACACGCTATTACCCTTTTCGAGGGCTCACGCGTTCTCCACCATAGCATGCGTGTCCTTCGTATGGCCTTCTTCTCAGGCACGAGAGAGGCGTAATTCACATCATATCCTGGCATGAAAACAATTAGGCAGTAAATAAAAAGTGGCTACATTGTGATTTATACTACAGGTCCATCTTAACTGGGTTAAATTCCGATTTGTGCTCCTCAAATGAATCCCGTTGATGGGTGATTGCTGGTAGCACCTATAAAACACATCTGAGAGAAAGGCGAGACGAAGGATCTGCATAGTGTGGTGGGGAACACGTGAGCCCTCGAAAAGGGTAATATCGTGTTCGACCCCACCGCATGCACCGGTGTTCCGGAGCTTTGCAAATATCTCAGCGTCATTATGGTAATAAGGTCTACTTTGTTCAGTTTCGAAAAAACGGCTTGATGGAAGGCGACGATAACATCCAGAGTGCAAGGAAATTTGTCACCTACATGAGAACTCTCGTGAAGATGCGATGGCAATTCCACGCATGTTGGTCGCGCTTCGGTGAGAAGTCGGGGACGTCGGGGAAACTTTAGGCGCTGGTATATGAAACTCCTAGGGGCATTGAGGAGAATTGCTAGCTAGATGCATATGGTGGTCATATTGTAGCTTTCTTAAATCAATAAATGTATTAAATGCTGAGGGGTATGTTTCCAATGCGACAGAGCTTTCAGATAAACGTGGTAATTTTCTATTTTTTATTTACTAATTAAGAGGGTAAAAGGATAAAGCTCTCGGCGTTGATTAATCCCTGAGGGATGCGCCATGCATTCGACTTCATTGAGCATCGTTGGAGGTGATTGAATGACAATGACTCGCGGTGGCCTACCGATGTATGGAGCCAGTGTTGCCATCCTCCTGACAAGTCTGGTACCAATTTTCCGACTTCGGAGGAATGGAAGGCTTGGTGGGCCATGGGTGCGGGGATCGATTCCACGTGAGTGTCGCAGTGGCGCCTCCAACCACTACGCAACACGCGCCATTTACTAATTGCTTACTCAAAATCACTTGGTTTCGGAATCTAAGGAAGGGTTATATGAGCTACTAAACGAATTGATAACGTAGTACATGGCATCTACGAACGTCATAAACTTCTTCTTCGCAGTTGGTAAAAATGGTCCCATCTTTTTTAGCACAGTCATAACTTGTCCACACTGACCTCGTTTGGTGCCCTCATAAGGGAAGGAGTCGTTCTCCTTTGTTGTTATCTTCAAAGTCTTTTTTTCTAAATTGTCCCATGCTCATCTCATAGTTTGCTCATCAAATTATTGATTAACGGTTAACGGATTTATAGATTGATTTGCTGAACCACATACCTATTGCACAAGTTATTATTATTATTGGTCGAAACGTTTGTATCTGATTTATCATTTTTTTTTAATGTTTACTTAATCTTAGCCTCTTACGAGAATCTACGTGAAGTGGAGGAAAATAAGACTGAACAAATGTTTAGTTGAGTATTTGGACGAACTTTCTTCGAAAATCATCTAGGCTCAGCATAATTCCCGTTTTGATATTTCAATGTTCAAAGCTTTTTTTTCTTGGAATCCACAGACAGCTGCATTAAACCACATTTTCCGTTAAGTTTTACAGAGCCTCAAATTGATTCACCGTCAAGCTTATCCAGCTTAAATCTGAACGTCAAGACTCTGATGGGGGGGTAGGCAGATTATACCTCATTGCATCATGTCGCTAAGGGCCTGATGTAGCACTATGAGTCAAATTGACTTATGTATTTTTAAACTACAATAATATTGTGAAGAGACTGATAATGAACGAACATAGCTATCAAAAGTACAAAGAAATTTTCTTTTTTGTTTTCATACCGACTTTCACTTGGTCTCAGCGCAAATAGTCACAACATTTTTGCATTATTAAGCTAGCACAAGGCTGTTACAAAACACTTATTCAGCCATCGTTTCGACGGCTTCGCATTCTTCAAAGCCGCGTTGATCCGAGTCGATTGTATATAGCCGATCGTTGTCGCTATGCGGGAGCGGGTGGGGTAGAAAATGGATTGCCACCATGAAAGCCGATCAACTGATCATATTGGATGGCAATAGATCACCGACCGTCCTGCATGAAAGGGCACCGGAGAAGGAGGATCCTTCACTCCACTGGATTCGACAAATGCGACTACGAACACCTACTTCGCGACAATACCTGGCTGTGGACAATCAATTCGAATCAACGCGGTGCTGAGGAACGTGAAGGCGCCGAAACCTTATCCGAGTAGATATTTTATAACAATACATTTTTCGATTATTAGGTTAGCAAGAACTTGATAAAAAAAAAGAGATTAGGCGTTCCGATGTCGTCGTCTTCTTCAGAGCCAGATTGATCCGACTCGTTGATCCATGGCTGGTCCACGTGATGTTGCTCGTTGTCTCTTCGTGTCGAATCCAATGATGTGGAACACCGGTCGTATGAGGAATCTCACTCGACAGTGTCTTCTTAGACAAGGCGGATGTTGATCCATTCCCGCTATCCAATATGATCCGCATTTTTGGCGATAATGCATCCAGCAGCAGCCAGTGATTTACTATCTAGGACATATCGTGACACTCTCTTGAAACTGGCTGTTTTATAACAACCTCCTGTTAGCTCGGCAATGCCGAAAGTGGTAGAACACTTCTTTTTCATGAATTTTCGCTACATGTTTAATCAGTAGAGTAACACGGTCACGCCGCTTTGTCTTGAGTGGTTAATATTTTTAAAGCAAGTACTGGCCATAAGAATAAGTAGAATTAAGGATAATTACGCAGCAGCTCGAAGTACAAGTATTGACGCATTCGAAGAAAACTATTTCTTTATAGCGCTTTCTTGTGTGTGAAGTTTAGATGTTTCTGGATTCGAACAATATCGAGACTGATAAGGAAAAAGGAAAAAAGAGGAAAAAGAGAAGGAATGGTAACATGGATAGAAGAATGTATGGATAGAAAGAAGACAAGAAATTCTATATTTGAAACAACTTTAATTCCAATCTAGAATATTATTCTACTAAAAATATTTCTCCATTGCGTCGTCGATCCGTATGCGCTTCCAGGCGTCACCATTCTCTTTTATCATCCGCACTTTCTGGAATTCTTTAGATCCAACTTTTACTGGTGGTCGTTTTTTCAACCGCGCTTAGCTGACTGATTGCCGTTGTCGCGGCTGCAGCGGTCTCAGAAAACGTCCGCAAATACGAACGTTTGCAAAA